TTTATATATTGATGTTTTGATAAGCGTATTCTACTGTACATACAGTGCAAAAATTATTGTTAATCATTAATAACACTTCATTGTCTCCTGGAAAATCTTACTTTGCTCCAGTGTAAGGATCAGACTCCCGTACACTAGTAAGTCTAGGAAATCATGTCAAAAGAGCAAAATATCTGACTATGTCGATGAGTAATGAGAGCAATTTGAAAACATCTAATGAAATATGTGACATAATTCCTGAAGAAGAGCATGCCTTTAATATATGAAGTGCTGCAATTAGAAGTGAATATTCTAAAACTTAAAATTCTAGGTAAATCTGAAGTCTTCATCTGAACAAAAATCATGTTAGAAAATCACGTCTGTTAAGTGTGGGTATACTGCGAGAAACCTTGCCTGTTTTCTTCGTAAGATTTCACAGTAGAAATCATATTTTTAAATTAGGTTCTTCTATTTAAATTTTTATTTGACAATGATTTACTGTTAAGATTTGGAGTAGGAAGCAAAAGAAGAGGGATGTTAAGAGAATACCTTTTTTGAGTTCTTATGTACCAGACACGTTCCATGTGCTTAAATTGATCAGTTCGTGTATTTTTCACAACCTCCCTTAAAAAGTGGGTTCTATCACTCATCATATTTTATAGATGAAGGAACAGAAACCGAAACATAGAACTGTTTGAGTAACAAGACTAAGATGATCCAGGCGGCAGAGCCAAGACATAAATCCAAGAGGTTTCGCTTTAGATTCTGTGCTGTCAGTTACTTACTATATTAATCTGTGGAGCTTAAAACTGGGAAACCATCGACGTTTCAGTATTTCCCACAACCTCGTTAAACCAGCTGTCACATACAGAGTGATCCACCCGACCACACTGGGACTCATATACGGAATCAGACAGGGATGTGCTTGTAGGAGATGAAGTGAAATATAATGCAAAAGCCAACAAATAGCAATTTGGGTTAGAAGGAGAAAATATCAACAAAGCACAGACATAAGTGAGAAACATGGATCTGAATGATAAATGATAAACATGGTGAATCAAGTACCTTGTAAATAACAGAATGGGACGTTTCACCTGTTTTATACACTATGAACACTTTTTGTAGTTTTTTTGGATGTGTGTATGTGTGTGTTATATATACAGGTGTTCGAAATGAATGTTTAAATTGGAATGGGAGATTGAAAAGACATGATCTTTAAAAACAGCGCATCAAGGCGGCATCTTAAAATTTCCGTTTCAAAATGCATTCTTTTCTGCTGCACAATTATCACTAAGTTTCATAAGTGTGTTCACTACACAACAAAGTACAGAACGGAGTAGATATGTGGGCACCTGATACAGGGATATTTGTTGTATGGTGCATCAGAATTATTGCGTTGTTTTAAATCTTCCACCACCACTGCATCTATATAATCTGATGATAAGATAGTTAACTGCATATAAAAGTAATGGTAGATAATTATCACATTTCCAGGGGAACTTTAGAAGAATGTTTGGCTTTTTCAAACTTATTAGTAGAAGACTTTTATTGTTAATATTTGAACCACTTATTTTGGCAAATTTTATCACTAAGAGTCAGAAGTTTTTCTTTTCCCCACTTCATTCGATTGTTTGATCATCGGATTTCATGATGTACGAGGAAGTCCAGAGAAGAAATTTCTATGCCACGGTCAAAATATTAGTGACATTGAATTGAGGTGTATCATCCTAGCGCAGTGGATTTAATACTATGCTATATAATTTCATGGAATTTGTTTCTAGAATGCCATCTTATACCTCCCACTTCCA